AAATGGAATTATATTCCTTTTTTTTTCTAATTTTATTTAACACACACACACACACATATATATATATATATATATATATATATATATACTTTATATATATGGTATAATGATATATATAGTCCTATTAAATTTTTTTCTTAGAAATTGAAATATGTTAAAACATACTCACAAAAGAGCGCTCAATTTTTATTTTCATTAAACAGATAAAATTTTTTCTTTACGATTGGAATTAAGCTACCTTTAGTTAATGATCATTTTCACCTACGAATTTTAATTTTAAAATTTGCAGGATTTTTCAAACTGTTTATGGTCTAATGATAATTTTCAATATATTATTTGCACAGGAATAACTTAGTTTGACTGTTCTTCTGTTGAAGACTTTCCTTAGGGTGTGGTTATTTTCGAAATGTTTATTTATTAGTTTTATGAACTCTTGACAAATGTTAATTTTTTGATAACCCACAGAAGAAACTTATTGAACCAAAGATCATATTTCTTTATCTATTTCTTTTTTATTATTACTACTCCTATTTGCATTAGTGTTACTTAGGGTGTTTAAGTATGAAAGTTTATTCTTAAAGACCATACACAGTTTGAAAAATCCTGCTAATTTGTAAAATTAAAATTCGTAGGTGAAAATGGACATTAACTAATGTATCTTAATTCCAATTTTAAAAAAAGTATATATATTTATATATATATATATGGACAATATATATATATATGTGTGTGTGTGTGTGTGTGTTGTGTGTGTGAAAAGTGTCATATAAATATAAATATATATATATATATATATATATATATATATATATATATATATATATTATATATATCTTGTCCATAAAGTTAAACGTGAATTCACAAAAAATTTATATCTTTATTTGTATTTGCGATAGAAATAATTTCTAAAAAATTAGATAAAGTAAATTTATATTTTTAAGGTTTTATTGAAATTTTATTTAAGTTTCCATCTCCTCCATCATTTATACAATACAAAGGGTAATATGATTTTTGCAGTTCACGGAAAACATTTGCCAACTGATTTACAGTAATGCTTGAAATCACATTAGTTATTTTAGCTATACTTAAAACTAGGTACATTAAACTTTATAACATTTTTTACAGATTATTTCTATCGCAAATACAAATAGTCATAAATTTTTTAAAATTGCACACGAACTATATTTTTATATAGATAGATAGATAGATAATAGATAATATGCAATTTATATATATTATTTATATATTATATATGCACACCTTTTACACGTATTGGAAATTGCTCAATATCAGAAATAGAAATAACATATTTAGTTGGATTGATGTGAGTTTATAAATTAAGTTTTCACGTTTTTGCGATCGTCAAAGTTTGTCTGACGATCGCAAAAAAATGTGAAACCTGTCTCTTAAACTCACACCAAATAACAAATATATATATATATATATATATATATATATATATATATATATATATATAAGAACAAGAAAGATATATAATCCGATGTTCTTATAGATATTTTATTTTTACAAAATAGTTTCAATGTAAATTTACAGAGCATTAATATTATAAATTAATTGATTTAAAAATATTTTTTTTTCGCTACACAGTTTTATAACCATGTTTCAAAAAATGGAAATTTTTTTCCGATTTTAATATTGTAATTAAATTAAAGACATGTCTTTAATTTAATTACAAAATTAAAATAATATTTTCAAATTTTTTGAAATATATGTTAAAACTGTTAAAATGTATCGAAAAAAACATATTTAAATCAATTAATATATATATATATATATATATATATATATTATAATAAAAAAACAAGAATAGTAAGATATATAATCCGGTGTTGTTAATTAATATTTTGATTTTTACAAAACAGTGCTCAATGCAAATTTACAAAGCTAAATATTATAAATTAACTGATTTAAAATATGGTTTCTTTGCTACACAGTAATAACCATGTTTCAAAAACCGAAGCTAAAAACTACCCTCCCTAAACTTAACCTCTTTTTCGAACGTAACTCATAATTGATACAACAATAGTTAATAAAAATGAACACGCTACAGCCCCTGTCTGAATGATTGGATTTCTCTGTATCCTTGGAAACAATAAATTATGAATTATATGTGCGTTTAAAATTCAGTAAATTTAAAAATAAGTTATTCCAAACTTCGCTTGAAGAACAAACAGAACTAATGCTTTTAATTTAATTATATAATTAAAGTTTTTAGCTTCGGTTTTTGAAACATGGTTATTACTGTGTAGCCAAGGAACCATATTTTGAACCAGTTAATTTAGTTATATATATATATATATATATATATATATATTTTTTTAAATATGTTCGTATAAACTTTTTTTCTTCTCTGGACATAAAGTGTATAAAAACTTGTTCGTCTGTTCTGCATATCCAGGCTCTTCCGGCTATTCATTTCGCCATTATATTTTAGTTTTAGTAACTTTTTAAATACCTTATTTGCGACATGAAATATAAATTTGAATTCCCCATACTAATGCCGTTAGTTTGGGAATTCCTCGAACCGTTCTTCACTAACTACGACATGTCTTCGCTTTGCTATGACAGACTTCCGTGATCTAATTGATAACGCTTATAGAATAGTTACCCTAATACAACAAAGGAAATACTGCTTCGGTTTCTACCGAGCGGCACGTTTTCTTTAAAAAAGAATTGATTTTGGCCGGTTGAAAAAGATGTCAAGATAGTAGAAGTGGGAGTGTCTGGATTAAGACAGTTAAAATAACCTTGACCTATATTTTAAAATATTAACATCTAGTTTATATAAGGTAACTTAAAAAGATTTTAAAATTTGAGATTTTTTTATATTTTTTAAGAAAGAGTAAATAAAAAGGTAACATCTAAAATTAAAAATTAAATTAAAACAATATGTAATATACAAATAATAATACATATAATATAATAAATAAAATAATTATTAACTAAAATAATTATTAAATAAAATTATTAAATAAAATTAAATTGAATTAAATAAAATTTATTCAATATAAATTAATAAGTAATAAATATAAATTTATAAATAAAAAATATAAATTAATATTAATTAAATTAATATTAATTAAAAATAAATATTAAATATAAATTAATATTAATTAAAAAACATATTAAATATAAATTAATATTAATTAAATTAATATTAATTAAAAATAAATATTAAATATAAATTAATATTAATTAAATTAATTTTAATTAAAAAATAAATATTAAATATAAATTAATATTAATTAAAAAATACATATTAAATATAAATTAATTAAATTAATATTAATTAAAAATAAATATTAAGTAGAAATTAATTTATTAAATATAAATTAAATAAATATTAAATAGAAATTAAATAAAATATTAAATAAAATAATTAATTTCGAATTACACATAATAAATAAAATAAGTACAAAATAAAAAAATAATAGAATAATAATAATAATAATAATAATAATAATAAAATAATAATAATAATAAGAAGAAGAAGAAGAAGAAGAAGAATTAAATAATTAAAAAAAGCAAGATGAAAAAACGAATAAGAAAAAAAAATGAAGGTAAAAATGGTAAAATAATAAAGGAAAAACTATAACAATGATAAAAATATATTGAAGATAAAATATTGATAATAGAATTTACGAAGATAAAATATCATTAAAAAAAACCGAAGTTGGTGGAATTTTATTCGATATGATTGAAAAGAAGTCGAAAATAACCAGGCGTATATTTATTGATCAAAAGCGCATGCGTGTTTGTATATATAAAAAAACAGATTGACGTTCCGGGAACCCGGAACGAAGGAGTAGGCAATATCATTACATCCCCTTTCTCCAAAACAAAGATCATAATACTAGGTCTCTAAAAATAAAACAAACATAAATAAACAGAAAGGCTCGTTCAGAGTAGACTACCTGAACAGCTACAGCAAAGCAGGGGATTATTCTGCCCCATTAAGTGCTTGCTGTGGGGTTATGAGTATGTGTTCATCATAAGTTCATCTTTGATGGCGGTCGCACCATCCTACCACTACGGGTACGCTTTTGGGGGTCATTTGGCATGTTTGGGATCGCACACACAGGTGTATCCACAAAAGTCACACATTTCTGACGTTTTCGAGACGTCTTGCGACAGTTGTGGGTCAGACGCCTTATGTGTTGCCGGTTTCTTCGCAGCACATACCCATTGACATTCTCCAGGAGATATGAGCGGTGACCATCTGCCTGGGATACTACAGTCGCTGGGTCCCAGCTTCCAGACATAGGGTTTTGTACCCTTACCCTTTGGCCACGGTACAGGGGTGGTAGTTCCTCCTTGAGTGCATGTCGGTCAAAGTACCTCTTTTGGTTTTGTTGACGTTGTTGAATCGCACTATATATCTGATCCTGATCTTGGTGATCGTTTCTGATTTTGGTAATCAGTGGAGATTGGATTCGTCTACCCATGAGTAGTTGTGCAGGACTTGGTATGACGCTTGAAATTGGAGTACAGCGCCAGTGCAGCAGCACAATTTCAGGCGTTGTTCCCGACTGCTTGGCTTTTTTGAGGATGTTCTTGACAGTTCTTATCTGCCGTTCTATGAAACCATTTCCCTGTGGTCTCCGAGGTGAAGTGGTCTCATGGTGGAAACCCCATTCTTTGGCGAATTCACGGTAGAGGTGACTTGAAAAGTGTGGTCCATTGTCACTGACTACCTTTGATGGTATCCCAAACTCTGCAAAGACTTGGCGTGTGATGTTTACTATAACACTGCTTGGTGAGTGAGCAGGTAGGTGTTTGACTACAGGGTACTTGGAGTAATAGTCGGCTATGATCAGCCATTGACTTCCATGGAGATCAAACAGGTCTGTGCCAACTATGTCCCATGGCTTTGTTGGGATGTCATGTTGCATAAGGGGCTCTTGCATTTGGGATGGCTGATGCTGTTGGCAGATGCTGCATTACTTTGTGAACTGCTCGATGTCTCTGTTTATGTTTACCCAGTAGACAGTGTCATTGGCGAGGAGTTTTGTTTTCTCTTGTCCTAAGTGAGCGGTATGAAGCTGTTTTAGGATGTCTTCTTGAAGTGTCTGGGGAATGACGATTTGTTGTCCTTTGAGGATAAGACCATCATCAATTGAGAGCTGGTCTCTTAGACCCCAGAACACTCTGATGTCAGTGGGCAGCTGCTTGATTGTCTCTGGCCATCCAGTGATGATGGTCTCTCTCAGCTGGTTAAGCAAAGGATCCGCTGTTGTACAGTTTCTCAGTTGTTCAATGCGATCAGTGGAGAAACGGACAGTATCAACCCGGACATCAAGCTCGATAGGGTCCAAATTACCGGGTGATGGTAGGCGTGATAGTCCATTAGCCAAGATGTTGTCAGATCCCTTGTTGTAGGTGATCCTGAAGTTGTATCCCTGGAGTTGTATGAGCATCCGCTGCAGGCGTGCCGGGGCTGAGGTGAGCGGTTTGTCGATAATCATTGTAAGGGGTTTATGGTCGGTGATGACTTGGAAATTGTGGCCATAAAGGTATGTGTGGAATCTCTGTGTGCTAAATACCATGGCCAGTAGCTCACGCTCGATACATGCATATCTTTGTTCCGTTTGTGTTAAGCTCTTGCTAGCATATGTGACAGGCAATAGATTGCCATCTGCATCCGGTTGTAGCAGAGCTGCACCTATTCCCCGTATACTCGCATCACAGTTCATGTAAATTGGGAGTTTGGGGTCAAAATAGTGAAGCAGAGACGTTTCAGATACTTCGCTCTTTAGATCTTTCAAAACTTTCTGGTGATGTGGTTCCCATTGAAAATCAGAGACCTTGTGTAACAGGTCACGCAACACGGTAGTTTTGGAGGTGAGGTCCTTGATGAAGCGAGATAGGTATGTCATCACACCTAAAAACTGTTGCAATTCTGTTTTGTTACGTGGTTCTGACATCTCCTGTAGGTCACGTACTTTTGTTGGGTCAGGTTTCAATCCGGTATGTGTATACAGGTTTCCAAAGAAGGAGATTTCCCGGCGTTTAATCTTGCATTTCTCCGAGTTGAGGGTAAGGCCCTCTTGAGTAGCGACCTCCATAAAACGCTTTAAGTTTTTGTCGTGTTCATGTTCTGTTGATCCATATATGGTGATATCGTCAGCTATACCACAGGCTCCAGTGCACTTCTCGAGTATCCTGTCCATCTCAAGTTGGTAAATATCCTGACTTACACTCAGACCAAATGGAAGTCGTTCAAAACAGTACCTCCCAAATGGTGTTTGGAAAGTTGTTAGTGGCTGGCTTTCACGATCAAGCTTTATGGACCAGTATCCAGACTAAGCATCCAATTTTGAGAAGAATTTTGCTTCTGCAAAACGATGGTTGAGCTCTTCGACAGTCGGAATCTGGTGGTATGGCCGTATGAGAGCTTTGTTTAATGCTCGTGGGTCTAGGCAGACTCTTATTGTGTTGTCACGTTTGGTGACATATGTAAGAGAGCTTACCCAGTTTGTAGGTTCTTCAATACGACGAATGACTCCTTGTGATTCCATCTTGTCGAGCTCAGCTTTGATTTTTTCGCGCATGGCTATAGGTTTCCTTCTCGGTGGGTCTATGTGACATGGCACATTGAGGTTAACAGCAAGCTTGTGAGTCCTCCGAAATTCAACAATACGGTCGAATCTGTCATGGTAGAGGCGTATTAGGTCAGCTATACTGTTGATGGGTAGGTGCTGGACTGAGATAGCACAGTTCATTGTCACTACTTTAAGTGCTACTGATGTTGGCAGGCCCAATATGGCTGCTCCTGGAACATCAACCACGTAGAATTGGGTATCCAGCCATGGAGAGTTCTTGTATTTGCACCTAATATTTGTGGTGCCATAACAGTTTATCTTTGTGTTGTTGTAGGCTGTTAGTAGGTATTGTGTTGAGGTGAGTGATCCTGGTATTGGATTTCCAGCTTTGTCTATACTGGTGGGGTACATCTTGCGGAATATGCGGATAGGCAGTGTGTTTGCTTGTGCCCCAGTATCTACCTTCAGGTTGAAAGTATGAGTGCCTGGGTGGTCCATCAACGTGATGTTTACATCGACAAATGCCTCATTTCGAGTGTCTTTCGTATTTGATGATTTTCCACTGTTGGTTTGATGGAGCTAAAGGTGAGGTTTTCCATCACTGTGTCTATGTCGGCCATGGCTTGGTCGTTATGTTTGGCGACGCTGTCGACTTTCCTGCCAAACTCCTGTTGTGGGTGTCTCGACTGGTTACGACCGTTAGACCAGGTTTTCCCTTGTCGTCTCTTGGTCTTGTGTTTCCCTGAGATGCAGACTGTAGCCCAGTGGCCTACTTTGCCACATGTGTTGCATGTGCCGTTCTTGGCACGGCAGTGTTCTTTGCCAAAACGGTGGTTGCGTCCACAATTTTTGCAAACCTGTCCGTATTTTCTGTCACTCCCTTGCTGTTGGTGTGTACCACGGTTTATTGTGGCTATCTGTGGTGATCCCTGTAGCTGGTGGAGTTGGCTGACATATATTGCTGATGCTTCATGTGAACGGGCTAATTTAACAGCCTCTTCGATTTTGTAACCCTTTGGTTTGTTCAATAGTTCCTTTTGTAGTTCGGGTATGGGCGTGCTGGCAATTAGTAACTCAACGAGGCGTTCGTTTACTTCGTCGGCAGTGAAGTCGCATTTCTTTGCTAGCAGTCGACATCTGTTAACGAAGATGTCCGTTGTTTCAGTTGGCTTTTGTTGGTATTTGCTGAGTTCGAGTCTACAGACGCGGTGGTTGGTTGCCGGTTCGAGCTGCTCCATGAAGGCAGAGAATATTTTTTGTGGGTCCTTGCGGTTGTCGTCTGTCATGGACCAACTGTTGTATCGGCGTAGGCCTTCTTCGCCGGCTGCGAGGAGAATTAGCGGCACCTTGTCTTCGTGTTTTGTTGCCTTGACGGTGAAGTAAAGCTCCATACGTTGCCGAATTAGTTTGAACGATTCGGCGATGTTTGGCGAGCCCCAGTCATTGTATTGACACTGTAGCCATGATATCTGCCTGTTAGTAGCTGTTATGTTGTGAGCCCGGCGTGGCGTGAGCGAGCGAGAATTTGTGTAGCGTGGACGATTAAAGAAAATAATGTACTGCTGTTTGTACTCACTGTTTTATTTTGGTGCTGTGATTTCGTAGGGTTGTTTAGTGTATTATCCAGTCTCGCTGCCACCATGTCATGCCGTGTAGTGCATGGATGTGTATTGATAAAATAATAATAATCTCAAACACGTGTGTAGTTATGAATAAAATGGGGACTGTCATGGACTGTCGTTCCTAGGAGCTGACAGCCAGACACTAGCACATATGATTTTATTATAGTGGTTAATGTTTTGTGCAGAACGAACCACACTTTAAGGGCCGAATACAAAGACCTGGTGCACTACGTGCCACAAGGTCCCCAAATGACCCTCCGCAGGTTTTGAATTCAGAGTTGTCCTTCTCCTAGACCAGTTGCCATGCAAGGCTATAGAACCCTGTCTATCCTGCTATTTACTCATAGCTGGGGGGGGGGGTAGAAGAAGAGGATTCACACCTTTCCCAAGGGTATTAGCACGTAAGTGAATGTAAATGGATTCGACTGGAATTCGAACTCGGTTCTCTGATTCCTCAATACGAGCCACTATCCATTATTCCTCCCTTTCTCTCTCTCTCTCTCTCTCTCTCTCTCTCTCTCTCTCTCTATATATATATATATATATATATATATATATATATATATATATATATTTAATGAAAAACAGACCACTTTAAGGTACCATTACAATAATTTATTTCACCAAATTTAGATTTCACAAATTTTATATATATATATATATATATATATATATATATGTGGGTGTATGTGTGTGAGACCATACATACGTAATTTAAATATATCATCTCTCTCTCTCTCTCTATATATATATATATATATATATATGCGTCTGTGTGTATATTTCATTATTTAGCATGTATTTTTTAATATACTTGTCTATAGAAATAAATCATAGAACTGCCTTCGAATGAGGAGACGTATATATATATATGTGTGTGTGTGTGCGTATGAGTGCCTACGTGCGTATATTAAATATATCTCTCCCTGCCTCTCTCCCTGTCTCTCTCTTTCTCTCTCTCTCTCACTATATATATATATATATAGATATAGATATATATATATATATATATATATAGATAGATAGATAGATAGATAGATAGATGTGTGTATTTCATTATTTAGTATGTATTTTTTAATATACTTGTCTATAGAAATAAATCATAGGGCTGCCTTCGAATGATGTGATATAATTGTTGTAACAAATGATTAGATTCAGAACGCATGATAATAATAATAATAATAATAATAATATAATGATAACAAAGTGTCATATAAAAGCTTAGAGCCGAGTAAGTAGGGTATATTTACTGGCAATATGATGAAAAGATTCCAAAAGCGAAAATCATCTCTACAATTTAAGATTTGATTGTAAAAGGAGAATGATATAGCAAAATTTCCCAATCTCTCCCACTCCTTCTCTTTCTCTTTCACCCTCCTTCTCTCTTTATTACTCCTTCCCTCTTTCACTCCTTCTCTCTTTCACTATCTCTTAGTCACCCTCTTTCTTTATCTCTCCTTCACTTTCTCTCTCACTCCTTCTCTCTTTGTTACTCCTCCCCTCTTTCACTCCTTCTCTCTTTCACTATCTCTGTCTCCCTCTTTCTTTATCTCTCCTTCACTTTCTATCACTCACTCCTTCTCTCTTTGTCACTCCTACCCTCTTTCACTCCTTCTCTCTTTCACTATCTCTCAGTCTCCCTCTTTCTTTATCTCACCTTCTCTTTCTCTCTCTCACTCGTTATCTCTTTGTCACTCCTTCCTTCTTTGGCTCCTTCTCTCTTTCTTTCTCACTCCTTCTCTTTCTCTCACTCACTCCTTCTCTCTTTATTACTCCTTCCCTCTTTCACTCCTTCTCTCTTTCACTATCTCTCAGTCACCCTCTTTCTTTATCTCTCCTTCTCTTTCTCTCTCACTCCTTCTCTCTTTCTCACTCCTTCCTTCTTTCACTTCTTCTCTCATTAACTATCTCTCAGTCTCCTTCTTTCTTTCTTTCTCTTTCCTGCTTTTTCTCTCTCTCTCACTCCTTCCCGCATCGTCACCCCTTCCCTCTTTCATTCCTTCTCTCTTTCACTATCTCTCAGTCTCCTCTTTTCTTTCTCTCTCCTTCTGTTTCTCTCACTCATTCTTCATCTCTTTATCACTCCTTCCCTCTTTCACTATCTCTCACTCTCCCTCTTTCTTTCTCTCTCTCACTCCTTCTCTCTTTGTCACTCCTTCCTTCTTTCGCTCCTCCCTTCTTTCACTCCTTCTCTCTTTCACTATCTCCCAGTCTCCCTCTTTCTTTCTCTCTTTATCTCTTACACTCTTTACCTTTTATGCCTAATAATTGACATACGTATGTCTCTCTCCCTTTCTCATCTTTCTTTCTTTCAATTTTAATCCGTTTCCTTAATAGTTTATTATCTTATAGTACTAACCATTTAGTTCTGTTGATATTGACCCTTTGAGCCTTGACCACCGTTTTACCGGTGGTAGAGAAAAATGACTTAATGCCCAGTCACCGGTTGAACAGAGGTAGATAAAAATTACTAAATGCCCAGCCACCGGTTGAACGGTGTATAAACACTTGTAACTATTTTTTATATCTACCGTGAAACATTACATACCAATTATTTGTGAATTTTGCCTCGGAAGCTCAGGCAGAAGGGTTAAAATTGTTCAAGAACACGAAGCTCAAAAGGACAAAATTCACTATTTAAGAAAAAATAACCGGTGTGACACTATTTAGCTATGGTAATTGGCTAATTAACCATAGAAACCATAGAAATTAAAACAGAAAATAGACATTCTTAAAGCGGAAAAAAGGAGCTATAACGAAAGATAGACTGATCGACGTTAAAAGAAAGATTTTAATTTATTTACAAAAATACCCCGCGGAGAGAGATATGTGTGAGGTCCTGTCGAGTTAATTTATGTATCGCTGAGGGAGATAGAAAGAAAAGCAAATATGGAATTATCAGCCAAAACATGTGTTGGTCGTAAAAAATTTCGGTTGGAGACAGGCAGTGAGAATCAATGTTAATTATCTTTCCAAGATATCGTTTAATTTTTTCTTCTTAGATACAGGCGATGAGAGGCAATGTGGCAATTGTAGGGCTTTGGCATTGTCTCGATGTGGGTGGGAGGATTGTTGTCGTTTACTTGACCGACAGGTGCTGAGACGTCGAGTGGCAGTGTGGCAGTTGTGAACTGTTGGCAGTCCCCGGGGAATAGTGGAGAATTGAGATTTGACGAGATAGAGAATTTGATTTCTTAATAAGTCAAGGGTTCCATGGTAGAGCTAACTTGGATTAAGGAGCCGAATGGCAGGCTTTGGCAGTGGTTGGTGGGACGGTGGGAGAGAAGGAGTCTGGGGGGGCTCTCCTCCAACCTTCCCTCGCGGACAACGATGAATGGGGGTGGTGATTTTCCAAAGGTGGGTGATAGTCGGTTTTCCTGTCCTGACGGCAGGGAGATTTCTTGCTGGAATTGAGATTGCCGAGCCCCGGGCCGCGTCGGACCCACACGCCGAGTTTTGGTCGGTGCCCATATAGACGACCGTCGATGGGTCGTTCAGAAGTTGCAGTTAAGTTGGAGTTAAGTTGAGTTGAGTTGAGCTGGTTTTGAACCAGGGTGTTGCCTCGCAGAAGCTGACCGAGAGATTCCATGACCTCCGACTTCGCCGATGCTATCAATAGCAAGTTATACTGGCGAACGAAGTTAAGCCAGCACTTAAAAACTAAACCTGTTGACTTAGAGGACCATCTTGCTTGATACGTAGAAGTGTCACATTTCGTAGGAAACGGACTGGGAGAAAAACACACTCCTGTATATAACAGAAAAATAAAGTCAAATTGTTATTTCTTAACATACTTGAACCTCTTGGATTTTTCTTTCTTTCATTTATTTTTCTTTTCTTTGCGCATGTGCAATGTCACCTTCAATTTGGACTCAGCTGACACTACGGCCCTGATTGATCTCATCTACCTAAGATCAAAGTCACAAGGCATTAGCTACTAGCTTCAATGTTGAAATGAAATGTTTCAGAATTCTGTGCGATTACAGGATGCGAAAAACATTTTTGATGCGTTAAATAAAAATGGCGGGAAATTTGCAGTGTGTTAGCTGAAATGGCGGGAAGTTGCGCTCTGTTAAAAATTTAGAGTGTTGCTTTCCTGAAGTTTAGCATCAGTTATGCTGATAGAAGGCAGAAAAGATTCTCTGCAGTGATTAAATAAAAACGGTTTTGTTTTGGAGCCGTTAAAAATTAAAAGCCATTTCTTGCCCTGTTAACCACTGATCGGAGATCTTTTTTTGAAAGCAGTTGTCAGTTTTACTTTATCGGGTCTGTCAGGTAATTTACTAAGACAAGATTACATTTTTTTTTTCATCTGCATAAATACCTAGCTGGGAACAGATGACATCGGAGGGGTCATTGATGAAAATCAGAAACAGCACTCTTGATGGAAACCATGGAAACTAGCTCCATAGACTATATTTGATCACTTTCTTTTAACACGTTTTCTAAGATTTCTTTCAATTTTCCTTCTGAATCTTTCTTTTCATTATTTCACCTCTAACGAGGCAATAAAGCCACTAAGACGCAAGGGGTTACTGAGTGTGGGAGAATATTAAAAAAAAGAAAACACAAGAGAGAACAATAAAAGAACAGGAAGTAAGAAGACATTAGATAACAATTGACATTGCATTTAAATTTTTGAAGATCAAAGTTGACTAGAAAGCAAGAAGCCAGAAGAGAGTCAAAAACGAGAAGTGCGAGAAAAGAAACTTAGCATAGAACTTACGGTTACATCTAGCTATTTCAACTGTAAAATGATGAGACCTAACTGCCAATCTAGTACTACATTTCAAATTATAAAGTATAGGTACCAAATAACAAAGCTCTTCTGGACAATTTTAATGAAAGTATTTAGAGGAAATACACAGGGAAGGTATGTTACGGTGGTGGTTACGGTAACTGAATCCTAGATGCCAGGTTAAGACCAATAACATTACAGATTATCCTTTGTATTTTATCAAGAATATCTGAATACAAGGCAGGTGCACCTGACCAGATGATACAGCAGCATCCACTCAATGGAGAAATGCTAGACTTATGAATATGTAAGATGGATTCTGACGAGAAAACTGTCTGGCACGATACAGTGAATCAATTTTCTTAGCAGCAGAACGCGCATTTGATTCAATATAAGCCTTCCACTTCAACGGAAAACACTTACCCCGTTGCTATCAACACGGTGTTAATATACTATAATATAAAAAGTGCTTTAATTGGTGTGACTTTCTCTGAGGTAATTTTGGTTTATTGCTTGATTTTGTTTAGCAGCATGTCAATCTCTGTCGAAACCTTAAATATTTCAAATGCAATTTTATGGCTTCAGCTCGAGGTGTTTTGTACATAATTTTATAGTTTCAGAATTAAACTATGTTTTTAGATATATAACTCGTAGAAGATAAAATGTATTGCTGGTAATTTTGCTATAAAAAAGAATTTTTATACGTTTTTAATGTTGCATTTTTGTCATTTGCTATGAAAATATATTTCTGATAATTTTGCTATAAAAAAGTATTTTTATACTTTTTAATGCTGCATTGTTGGTCATTTTACTATGAAAATGTATTGCTGGTAAAAAAAAAAAAATTTATACTTTCCTCGTGTTTTAATTTTTTTTTTTTTTTTTTTAAGAGCTCGCAATTTACCCATAGCTGGGACCCTAACAGATGCTACAACCCCGGTCCAGGCTGGATCAGGGAAGAACGTTAAGAGATGTTTCCACGTTCCTCAAAACCTTTAATCTCCCGATCAAAGGTCTTTCTGCCAGGTGTAGTTTATCGTCATACCCAGGAAAAGTAAAAGCCTCTGTATACTACTAGAGCCACCCAATCTCTCCGTATCTTTATTTACTTAATATTGATAAGAACAAATGAGACAATGAAATTTAAAGTGATAAACTTATTTAGTCACTGTAAGGAAAGGAATGAAATCTGTTAGATCAGAATTGGCCAGCCTTTCTGTGCGCCATTTTTTCTGGAGTTCAATTCTCTTACACAAACATTGTACTCTCAGCAGTTCTTTTGAAAATATTTATATATTTAGAATTTATTACGTGATATATCGAGTGTGGTGTTGTGGTTAACGTCTCGGAATAAGAAATCGGAAAGTCGAGTTCTAATTCTGTTCGGGTTCGTTACATTTAAAGGTATGAATACGTCCACTCTCCTCAGCTTTGGGTTAAATAGCAGAAATTGCTATAATCTCTCACAAAATAAGAATTATTCTTACAATCCAAAGCTAGTCTTGGATATAAGAATTGAGGTTTTGCAGAGCGTGGAACCTCTTAATTGCTGTTGTTTGTAGGTCCACCCTGACCCGGAGTGGTAGCACCTGTTCGGGTCCCAGCTATGGGAAAATACTGAACTCAAAAAAAAAATAAATAAATAAAACGTCAAAAATATATTGTGATAGTAAAATAATAAGCAATACATTTTTACAGTAAAATGACCAACCTGTAGATGAAGGCATGCAATTTTGTACAAAATATTTAGATTCCAGCATTAAATAAGCCATAGAGGTGTTGATATGCCCCCAAACAAAAACAATCAACATGAAAAAACTCTTTCATGGCATTAATCTATATAATATCCTACAATTTCTTAAAGAAATCCAACTGTATTCCAAAATATAACTTGAACAAAACTACAACATAAAATACACATATCATCACCTTTAGTAATTATGTTAACACAAATAGGTATATGCACAAAAGCTGAGTATCATCTACCATGTATTCACTTGTGAAAGCAGAATAATGTATATCATATTTTTCTTACTTCAAAGCTCCCAAGAAAATTAAATTTTGGTATTAAATGACCCATAAGGTGTTGATATGCCTTAAAAAAACAAATCAAATCAAAGCTCCCAAGAAAATTAAATTTTGATATTAAATGACCCATAAGGTGTTGATATGCCGTTAAACAAACAAATCAAATAAAGATTTTTTACTTTTGCACATATACCTATGTATTTCGTTGGGAAAACAGAATAATATATATCATATTATTATTACTTCAAAGCTCCGAAGAAAATTGAAATTTCAGCATTAAATGACCCATAAGGAGTTGATGTGCCTTTAAACATACAAACCAAAGCATGCTTCGTATTTAAATACCCTTTAAAGAATTAATAAACGGTGAAAAAAATACATCAATCAATAATTATATAATTTATTGATTTAATATAAAACCAAGACGACAATTGTTTTACTGAGACCATTGTGACTCCTTCTATATTATCAAAATTTTTCAGGTTTGAGATTAATTAGT